TCAACAAAGCTCTGGAAAATATTAGGAAGATGAAGAATCATAGAATCATAGAATCAAAGAGTTGGAAGAGACCTCATGGGCCATCCAGTCCAACCCCCTGCCAAGAAGCAGGAATATTGCATTCAAATCACCCCTGACAGATGGCCATCCAGCCTCTGTTTAAAAGCTTCCAAAGAAAGAACCTCCACCACACTCCGGGGCAGAGAGTTCCACTGCTGAACGGCTCTCACAGTCAGGAAGTTCTTCCTCATGTTCAGATGGAAAATACCTTATCACGAAATCTCATATAAATATGCTCAATAAACAAGTATTTATTGATATGTCAGAAGTGAATTTAGAATACAGGTATAATGTATAGATAAAACTTGGCATTATACTAAATTTCCTTTTGACAAGAAACTGGCCACTTGGAGTGCCTCTGGTGACGCTGGAAGAAGGTCCTCCATTGTGCATGTGGCAGGGCTCAAGCTGAGTTGTAGTAAGTGGTCTGTGGTTTGGTCTTCTTCACACTCGTATGTCATGGACTTCATTTTGTAGCCCCATTTCTTAAGGTTGGTTCTGCATCTTGTGGTACCAGAGCACAGTCTGTTCAGCGCCTTCCAAGTCACACAATCTTCAGTGTGCCCAGGAGGGAGTTTCTCATCCAGTATCAGTCACTGATTGAGGTTCCGGGTTTTAGCCTGCCACTTTTGGACCCTTGTTTGCTGCGGTGATCCTGCAAGTATCTCTGTTGTTCTTAGGAAGCTGTTTCTTGATTTAAGGCATTGGCATGCTGGCTAATATCCGAACAGAGGATGGGCCAGAGATGTCACTGCCTTGGTCCTTTCAGTACAGGCTGCTACTTCCCGGTAGATGTCTGGTGGTGCAATACCAGCTAAACAGTATAATTTCTCCAGTGATGTAGGGTAGAGACATCCTGTGATAATGCGACATGTCTCATAAAGAGCCACATCCACTCTTTTAATGTGGTGATATGCATTTCACACTGGGCATGAGTATTCAGCAGCAGAATAGCAAAGCGCAAGGGCAAATGAAATAGTAGCATTATTTGCTAAGAAATATCCTTGGAATATTATTATAGAAATATGGACGATAAAAAGAGAAATAACATATTAATTTTAAAACAAACTGAACTGCTGTTGGGGTATTTAAATAGGGTTTTCTTAAGAGGTGGAGGGGGGGGGGGAGAGAAAGCCTTCAATGTTTAGAAAAGTTTTTAATATTTTTAATATTTTAAGAATGTTTAACCTGGCAGTGGAATCAATATTATATAATAGAAGAGGTTTCAATATGTCAATAGAGGTGAACGTCTACAGATCTTCATTGTCTTCCTATAAAGGAATATTCCTGAATATTATGGCATAATTATCTGTTCTGTGGCATCCAGAAATAGACTATAGACTGAATGACATAGTCCTTTCCACTATTTTATTATAATATTCGCAAAAGCCAAGGTTCTGGATAACATAAGGTACAATTTTCTCAGCCAGCCTGTCATAAATTCTTTTTAAATATTCTAATACATTTTTCTCTCAAGTTGGGGAGTTCAAGGAAATGCATTGGCTGTGTAACATAGCTACAATCCAGTATGGTATCATCAATTAGTGATGAACTTTGACATTAAGAACATAATACAAATGACTAAAAGCAAAACATGAAGAGAACCTGCACATTGTAAATACTCCCCAGAAGCTCTTCCTCTGAAAAGGTCAAGGTGTAGTTTCATGTCAGAGCAAAGTACAATTGTTGATTTAAGAGCACTTCCATACGTTTTATTTTGCTGACACACTGCCGTGATAGAAGATATAATGAATATTGCCTTTGATGTTCTAACAAATACCCTGAGTCAGAAAACAACCAGTTGACAAGCTTTTCAAATACTGTTCAATATAATGAGATACACATTTCAAAGAGATTTAAAAATCTTGACCTCTAAACCCTGCCATTCATAACGGTCTTGTATGATGATTACTCTATATCCTGAAGCACACTGACGATGCAAACAGGTCTTGTGGACACTTTATGAGACCACACAAGATATGTTTGCTTAGACAGTCTTTGAATCTGGGCAGCAGTGTGTTTTAGCAGATTTGTTTCAGTGACTGACACAGTCCTTTCCTGGAGATTTACTATTGAATACAAACAATGGGATGTGTGTGTGTGTGTACATATACATACACACACACATACTGCACATACACATATACACACACATACATAGACAGATAGATGCAATAATCATTTGCAAAACAGCCTTTATGGGAGTATTTCCTTGCAGAGGTATTCATCCCCCTCTACTTTCCGCACTTTCTTGTGTCACATCTTATTGCAAAGTAAACATATTCTTGTCATCTTCACAAGATTGCATATCCTGTGCACCTCAGTGCCAATTAAATCTGTTTTGATTCCAAGACATTGAAAATGTTGAAGAGTCAAAAGGCAGTGGACACTTTGCCAAAGTACTGTGATTCTCAACTATAGTAAGGTATTAATTTGCTGATGTGCAATGGACAGAATGATGCATACCGATCAAATAAGTCAAAGAATGAAATAAACATAATTTTAAAATCTATAAACCACTATAGAAAAACTAGTTTAGAGTACAGGCAATCCCCGAGTTACAAATATCAGACTTACAAATGACTTGTAGTTACAAATGTAGGTGAGACAACAGAAAGTGAGAGAAAACTACCCCTAGGAAGGGAAATTCACTCTTGAAAGAGTTATCTGGGGGAAAGGAGTCTCCACTGAAGCTTTAGCACCAATCCTTGTTTCCACAAGAAGCCATTTTTTTCCAAAATCCAATTGTCACATGGACAAAAAGTGAGGTGACATCTTCTGAACAAGGGTACAGAGAGCAAAACAAACTCCAGGTGTTAACCCTTCTCTATGCTATCCAAAGTGGAAAAAAAATTGGCTGGAGTTACACTTTAAGATGCACCTGTTCCAAATTAAATATAAATTCAATTTAAGGACAAATGTAGATAACCTATCTTCATAGCTTGGGGACTGCCTGTACAGGCTGAAAGCTTGTGAAGCCTGAAAATCCAGGTCAAATTCAGACAACTTGGTCCAGGATATGTAGTTTTTCTGGGAGATTGTAGAGGAATTGTGTGCAGGGAAATTTGGAGTTCAGATTCATCTGGGAATTTTGAGGAAAGGAAAAAGCACACAAATAAAAATGGAAAAATGCAACGGTTTGTCTGATCACAGGTAGTACACCAGGCAAAATGTGGTGTGAGGAACAATAAAAACAATTAAGCTGAGGATAGAGACACGATATGCAAATTGCCAGATTGAGGAGTGAAGCTTGAACAGGCAACCACAGGGACTACATATCAGAGTTTGAAAGGTTGTTTTTAAATGTCAATGTCTTAGCCTTAAAGTATCACATTAGTCATTACTTGTTATGTGTTAAACATGATCAAAATCCTATTGCCAGATCGAGAACAGATTAAATCAATGGGATGTGTCTATCTGTTGACTCATCATTCACCAATTGGTAACAGCTCGTAAGGTCCTTGAACATGTTACATAAAGAATCAGAGAGTTTGATGAATAGGGCACATTTTAGTAACAAGAAAGGAGCAGAAGGGGGTGCCCAAATGATGACTCAGCAGAAGTGGCCAGCAATGACAAGACAATCCCAGGATTACTAGCTGGTGAGAAGTGGTAGCAGTGACAGTGACATGAGGACAACCCATCAGCACATGGGATGGGTTATGGCAATGGTGTGTATTCAGACAATGGATCAGGCCAAAATGGACCCCATCCATGTAGCCAAAAAGTTCAAGGACACTTCAACCTCTAGAGCAGTGGTTCTCAACCTGTGGGTCACCAGATGTTTTGGCCTTCAACTCCCAGAAATCCTAACAGCTGGTAAACTGGATGGGATTTCTGGGAGTTGTAGGCCATAACACCTGGGGACCCACAGGTTGAGAACCACTGCTCTAGAGAATTCCTCAACTTTGCTTATTGCAGAGCATGTTCATGTTTAGGGGTAAAAGTTCTGAATTCTTGCATCATGAAGTTATGCAGATGGTGACTTTAGAATCATCCTAAATAAAAGAACTTTGCTGGAGGTAGAAACTTTAAGAGCCTCAATTTATCATTATTAATCTTATTAAAGATTCTCATGTTGTATCTAAATTAAATAACTTTAATTCCAGAAAATGTATTCAGAGATAGCCATGTAGCAAAATCCACAAAACTGGAATAACGTCATTAGAACTTTTACTTGGATCAATGGCTATTGGAAAGGGACGAACGGAATAGCTGCCAACTCTCATTCCTTGGGCAAAATCTTCTCCAGAGGGTTGGGGGATCCTTCAACAAAGCATTAATTTTGGCACCAGAGTGGGGTGCAGGATGAATAAAGAATAAGGAAAACACATAAATATAATGTGTTCATGGAAGCCTCTTGCCTTCATGCAGATTATGCTGTGAATGAAATAACATAAAAGAGGCAACAGCGCTAGAAACCCTTTTAACCTCTCACTTGGAAAACTGACATTTGTGAGTTTCAGAAAGTTCAGGTTCCTCCACACAACTTGCTAAAATAGTGAAAAAAGAAGCATGTCTTCAAAGGTCAAGCCACTTGATAAAATGTATTTTTAGCCTACTACAAATGAAGAAAATGTTGCACTATCCACTTAATCTTATAATAACACTTGCCACCAATTTAAAATGAAAGTATATTGTGTGAAACTCAAGCATGGATGAGCAATTCCTTTCTCTATTCACCAGTTTTGATAAGTGCCAGACATTATATAAGAGCATATGCATGTTTTAAACTAAGCTTGAACATTCATTCAGCAACAATTGTCCAAATGTGAAGAGCAAATTGTTTTTGAACTTTTGTTCCACTGCGCTTTGAAGACTATCTTTATTTTTCTTTAATTTTGACTGTGCTTACTTTATAAGAGGTCAGTGTGATCTTGAGCTTCTACTCATTTGAAATAAAATGGAAAGAGACAGATATATTACAAAATTAATGGCAATGATCTTTTAAAGTTTAGTTTTATTAAAGTTTGAATCTTGTTCCTGTTCACAATTACATTGCAATAGTGCATGATTTTAGTACTTCAAATGATACAGTTTATAATAAAGTTACAGAATTGCAGATACATATAAAATATAGAAAAGGCTAAACAAGAGCAAATATAAAGCAGCTGGTTTGTTGAAAGATCAGATTGCAAAAACACATATTACATAATGCACAATTTTTCTTCAACCACAATAATTTTGGAGATAAAGGCACTTTGAAATTTACTATCATGGAAATCACTGAAGTAGATGAATGTTCAGTACAAACAGGTTGACAAACTTGGATCTTCTCAGGATCAAGCCATCTGGAATCCTTATAACCTTAGCAGTTAAAGCCATTACAAACAAACCAAACAGGCAAGCAACGGCAATTACAATTTGCAAAGGAAAGTGAGGGAAAGTTTGCCATTTTGTTTCCATTTTAAAAAGAAGCACCCCAACAGGCAGAAAGGGAAGGAGGTACACAATCTTTGCCTATCTTGACTTCTCTTTGTAGTCTACGAATAAGGTTTAAGGGAAGCAATATTTTGCTGATAACCCTCTATTGGGTCCATAGGACATTTTAGGATCTTATTTCTACAAATTCCCAATATTGGTCCATTAAGTAGGTCCATAATCTTGATGTTCAAGGGCTCAGACCACTTGAGCCATCTAGGCCCCGAAGAGACCAGGCCCAATGGATATCTATTTGACAATCTGGGCTGCTCTTTGTCTATTTTTATGACTAATTTAATGGGGTAATTATAACTTTCTGGATGTACATCCACTGTAAAACTTTGGAGTGATGACAGCAAACCATGTGAGATTATAAAATAATCCAGTACTCTCCCCCGCTTACTTCTTGGCCTTTTGGCTAAGATCAAGTGTAGTATCTTTGTAGTCCACACTAACTTCGATTTCACTGCTCTGGTGACTCGGTTACTACTCCAGAATGTGTTATGGGACAGCACTGGGTTCTGCCATGGGACCAATGAAAATATGTTCTTTGCTGTCAATGGGTGTCTTTTGATAGACTAGAAGTCTTCTATGGACGGAAAGAGTTCTTTAATCTATCAGGGTAAAATTATAAATACAATCCACCATGTGAAAGGAATTTTCACGATTATATCACATAATTCACAATTTTTAAGACTGAGTTATTAAAACTTGAGTGATTTATTATTCTAATGGACTGGATACTCCATTTTTCTTTAAAATGGGTGTCAACAGAGAATTCCACTAGAGAACAGTTATATCCACATTGGAACAAAATCAAATCTGTTAATCTTTTAAGAGATTTTATTTTCTATTTCTTAAGACTCAAGATGTTTGACTAAAGTCTAATAAACAACCTCAAAAAAGGAATTCTTGCACCAATTGCAAATACTGGGAAAACCCTATATGGGTTGTTGCAGGTTTTTTGGGCTACATGGCCATGTTCTAGAAGCATTATCTCCTGACATTTCGCCTACATCTACGGCAGGCATCCTCAGAGGTCCTTACAATGTCAGGAGAGAATGCTTTTAGAACATGGCCATATATCCCAAAAAACCTACAACAACCCAGTGATTCCGGCCATGAAAGCCTTCAACTATACATAAAACCCTATGTGTTTATGTGGCTTCAAGTTGCCTGTTGACTTGTGGTGACTCTATTATTTTCATAGGGTTTTCTTTGGCAAGGAAAACTCAGAGGCAGTTTGCCACTGCACTGCTTTGAAATATGATCTACATCTCTTGGCATTCCTTGGCAATCTCATTTAAGTACTAACCAGGCTCAACCCTGCTCAGCCTCCAAACAGCTCATCAACAGCTACAATTCTGTACAAGGACTGTGTCTGAAAGGGGTTCCTTCTAAAGATCTTCAGAAGTTATAGTAGATTACACACATTCTACCAAACACATACATTAGTCTTTGGAATGCCATGAATTTCCTGTGTTTTTAATCACTCAAAATATCAAAGTCAAAATCTAATTGTTTTCTTCAGCTGTTTGCTGTTGCCTCTGCCAGAATGAGTGACCTTCCTCTTCTTGAAGATCCTGCTCCATCCATCAATTCTACAAAATTGTTCCAAAAATGTAGACAGTCTCCAGAGCAGGTAATTCAATGTGCTGGTGGTGCTTTTAGTTTTGCTGGTGTTGGATACCACAGTACATTGTTGGATTTTGTTTAAAGGTATTTTCATTTCAAACTTTGTATGGCTGTACATGCATGCACTTAATACAGGTCAACATATGCACATAATATACATTGTATATACACACAATTACAATGCACTGTAAATACCAAGTCAATAGTTAAGGTCCATGTGTGTTAGGTAGTGCAGATCCATATCATATTGAAGTCTACCACTGTTCCCAGGAAAAATCATCTCCTCTGCCAAAAAGAACAAAAAAGCCTAGAACAGTAAGGAAAATCACAGCGTTGCCAGCCAGCACAAGGGCACAAGCTCCCCACTTGATCTGAAATAGAAGATATTTAAAAATAATAACTCCACGAACTGATCAAAAGCATATATTATTTTCAGCATTAGAGAGGCACAAAGAAATACAACATCAGCATGCTAAAAGCGCTTAAGATCAAACAGCAAATTCTGAGTATGGACCAACCGAAGTAAATCATTGTCATTATATAATTATAGTAATTATAGCAGTAAGATAATTGCTGAAATGCACTGATATTTAGAGCAATTATTAGTCCTTGATAATGTAAAACAAAATGTGATGGAGAAAACAAATAAGGAAATGTTTATAAGACATTATGAGCCCTTCCATCAAAAACAGCATTTATGACTCTGAAAAATAATTTATAGGCAGCTAGCCACACTCCTGTCAAAACAACTCAAAACTTCCCAGCCATCATAAGAGATTTGGAGACCTAAGCCATTGCCCCTCCTGTATTGTTTCTCTTCTCCATTCCAATTTGGACTAAAATTCTGTATTTCATTTTCATATTGAATATGCTTTTAAAATACTATTGTTACATAAAATTCATACTTTCTATAAATGTCTTAGGAATCAAAAAACAAAAGGTAAAAATACCCTAGTGATACCATTGCTAGGGTACCTGATTGGGTTGTTAATATTTATTCTCAGGACTCAGATCCAACTAAATCAAATGGAGCTTACTACTCAGTATGGTGGCATGGCATCACACTCAAGAGTGAGGAACACTCTTAGACATTCATGCTGGAAAACTACTTTCAAATGTATAGGAATACAAAAAATAATATCACACACAGAGGATATGTTCTGTGGGTACCTGAAACTTGAACAACAGCCAGCTCTATACTACAGACATACTATAGAATAACACTGGAGGAAACTGAGAGAGCCACAAACATCCGAGGGAAAATATTTTGAGAGACATGACCATGGCATTACTTCTGCTGGAGGGCTGGGGGTTGCAATGTTTTGCTAATATTGTTGCAAGACCCTGGTAGGAGCTGGTGGCATCTGGACTATAAGGAACTGCATAAATAGTAGTACAGCATCTAGATCCAGGGAAGTCATGCTAGCCCTCTATTTTGCCTTGGTCAGACCACACCTGGAATACTGTGTCCTATTCTGGGCACCACACTTCGAGGAAGATGTTGACAAGCTGGAATGTGTCCAGAGGAGGGTGACTAAAATGATAAAGGGTTTGGAGAACAAGCCCTACAAGGAGCAGCTTAAAGAACTGGGCATGTTCAACCTACAAAAGGAAAGGCTGAGAGGAGACATAATGATGGTGGTCATGTATAAATATGTGAGGGCAAATAGGGAGTAAGCCTGTTTTCTGCTGCCCTGGAGACTAGGATGTGGAACAATGGCTTTAAATTACCGGAAAGGAGATTTCACTTGAACATTAGGAAGAACTTCAAAACTGTGAAAGTTGTTCAGCAGTGGAACCCTCTGCCTCAGAGTGTTGTGGAGGCTCCTTCTTTGGAGGCTTTTAAACAGAGGCTGGATGGCCATCTGTCGGGGGTGCTTTGAATGCGATTTTCCTACTTCTTGGCAGGGGGTTGGACTGGATGGCCCACAAGGTCTCCTAACTCTATGATTCTATGAACAGTTTTAGAACACTGCCTTTGTTTTCTTTTCACTTGCATCAGATTCCTCATTAGGAGAAACCATTTTTGTCTGTTTTCTAATGCTTATATTCTCTGGGTAACCAGTGAGTGAATTGATACGATCATAAAATAGTCTAGAAATCTGACTTTGCTACTATTTATTGGCCATAAGAAAGGTGCAAATCCTGGGTCAAAACTAAGGGGAAAGGAAGCACAGGGAGGCCATGGTGGGGGTCTACTGCAGACTTCCGAGCCAGGTTGAGGACCTGGTGGAGGGAAGTCCTGCTCTGCTTTGGCCACCTGCAAGGATGACCCTGTGCCCCGTCCTGGGCAATGCAAGCCAAGTCATTAGTTTTTATGGTGTTTAATACTTTGGAAACAGCTGCTATGGAAGAAAGGCTTCAAACTACATGTGAAAGTTCCTATGGGGAGATCCCTTTGTTTATATAAGTATAGGTGGGTAGCAAAATACAATTTGGTTTGGTCGAAGGGTCAAAATTGTTTTGTGGTAAGAAGCTTTATAACGAGACATTATTTTGACAGAGAGCAAGAACATATTTGGCCAGGTTACTTTAAGAAGTCAGTATTCAGAAGTAAATTTGTGGTTGTAAGGTGAAGCAGGCACTGAAGACTTTCAGGTAGTCCCAAAAAACATCTATACCAGTGGTTCACAGCCTGTGGGTCCCCAGATGGTTTGGCCTTCAACTCCCAGAAATCCCAACAGGTGGTAAACTGACTGGGATTTCTAGAAGTTGTAGGCCTGGGGACTCACAGGTTGAGAACCACTGATCTATACCATCCCAGAAGGCAGAATCAACAGGAGGAATATAGAGCCATAATTATTACCTTCTTTCTTGATTTAATGCACTTTTAGATGATTGCATCAATAGAGTTCACTGCGCAACGTAAACCTATTTGTGTGTGCATCATACAGCATGATGTTGAATGATAATGGGGAAAGTTGCTGAGAGGTTTTTTTTTTTTACTTCCTTATGAGTTATGAGTAAAAAAAACTAAATAAGAGAAAAAAGGAGGGAAAGAATCTGAAGAAAATTAATTTCTTTCATGATCTGAAAATTTCCAGATGTTTTGCATTGCTAGCCACTACCACATCTTGAAAGAACTAGCATGCCCTCTAGTGGCACAACTGTATTACTTACTGCGTCATTAGGGCAAGCTGAAGTGCTTGAGAAAAATGTTGAAAATTCACACTTATTAATTTTTTTAAAATATATAAAAATGTGTATCCTCCTTAATCATGGAAGTCTCAAACTTCCTTGTTATCAAGCTGAACAAGGAGTAAAAGTGGGGGGGGGGGGGGGGGGGAGAAGCTGGAAAGTGTCCTGAGGAGGGCGACTAAAATGATCAAGGGTCTGGAGAACAAGCCCTATCAGGAGCCGCTTAAAGAGCTGGCCATTTTTAGCCTTCAGAAGAGAAGACTGAAAGGAGACATGATAGCTATGTATACATATGTGAGGGGAAGTCATAGGGTTGGGGGAGCAAGCTTGTTTTCTGCTGCCCTGGAGACTAGGATGCGGAGCAATGGCTTCAAACTACAGGAAAAGAGATTCCACCTGAACATTAGGAAAAACTTTCTGACTGTGAGAGCTGTTCAGCAGTAGAACTCTCTACCCTGAAGTGTGGTGGAGGCTCCTTCTATGGAAGCTTCTAAACAGAGGCTGGATGGCCATCTGTTGGGAGTGCTTTGAACACGATTGTCCTGCTTCTTGGCAGGGGGTTGGACTGGATGGCCCATGGGGTCTCTTCTAACTCTATGATTCTATGAGAAATGGGAGAGGAAGCACCTGAAGAATATTTGAGCCCTACCATAAGTGTGGGAGACGGGAAATGAGCAGGCACCTCTCATCTTGATATAACAAGTAAAACAGCCAATGTGAGAGATAAAAGAAAATACAGCATTTGTACATTCTTCTCCTCAGTACTGTTGTATTGTCCCATCATTCTTGCTTCACACAACTCACAGAATGCAGTATGATCCCTCCCTCCATATCCACAAGACCCACATTTGAGATTTCATTTACCCATGAGTGCAAAAAGTCATCTCTAGGCATTTTCTTGGTCCCCCAGTGCAATTCTATGATATTATTGGGCCAGAGATTTTTCACTTCAGTAGGGGTTATTATTGTCTGTAGCCATGCATATCCACTGAAAATCTGGAAATACAAGGGTCATATTGTGCGACAATGTGCCAGAAAGATTTCCGTCATGGGCCTGGACAGTGCACTTTTGTCTATAGATGCTGTATTCACCTTCTCCTAGTACAGAAAGCAAAACACTGAAAACAGCATGTGTTATATCCAACACAAACTCTAACTGAGAGACAAAACATTATGGCACACAAAACAAAAGCTATACAAATCAACTTGCATTATCTCGGTTTGAGATCTTACCAGTTCAACACGGGCAAGAATGATAGGAAATCCAAAGGCAGAAACCACAATTCCTGTGGTGAAAAAATATGCAAGTTCTATGCAGGCACTGCTTGCAGCATCCGTGTCGTCACTGACTCTTTTTGCAATGAAGTGAGGAATGGGGCTTATGAAGTAGAATATCAAGACAAACAATGGCCAGTAGACCCTGCAGAATGACAAAGGCAAAGAATGCAAAGAGTAAGTTTGAAAAGTAACCTTATAACTTAGTTTCATCCCCAGTGACACACCCATACTTATACAAACTATTTGCAAGGGTATAATATACTGAACCATAATGTTGGGGTGAATAATTTTCATAATCTGCCTCCTGCAAATTCATAGGCTGTACATTTCACAAACTAATCAAAATCATAATAATTTATAGACAGCCCTATCTCCCCAAGGGGACTCAGGCTGGTTTCCAAAACATATGGCAAGCATTCAATTCCAACAAAGAAGCATATCACCAAATTACATCAAAATACGA